AAGTTATACTGCAACTACCCTGAGAATCAAACAGGTAACATTCAAAAAATGTAGTCTGTTTGGACTGAGATGCCAGTAAAATCAAAATCTGTTTAACATCATCCATTCATACATAATGCTGCTGCTCTACACTTTGAGCTCCGTGATTTGTGCTGACCAGCAGAAATGGGGGGCAAGGGATGTTATTTCACATCATATTGGATATTCAAATTCATGTGGCTGATGTCATTTTGGATATCCAAAGTGGAATTGTGACTAAGTGGTATAGAAAATGAGAGAATTGTGACTTGTCAAAATGAAATTGTATATATCTTGAATTGTTATTCTTACTAGTCAAAATGTAAATGTAGATATGAATCACAATTATGGATAGTTACCCTAACTTTCTAATGTTAAAATGGTGTCCATAAATACCTTTACAAAGATATCCTAAAAGCAATTATGACTAGTCAAACCTCAGATTTAAGATTTCTGCACTGTAGTTTTGATTAGCCAAATCTACAGTTTCAGATATCTACAATGGGATTTTGACTAGTGAAATCTTCATTTGCGATATCCAAAAAGATAATTTGGATATCTTTTAAATGTTCTAAATTTGTTACGATGTGCACCGTCAGATAACACAGAACTGGATCCAAGAGGCAACACTTGAACTCAGAGCAAACAACCAGTATTGACTGTAGAACAGGCAGAGGGAAAAAGGTCAAGGTCAAAGTGTTTATTGTCATATGCACAGTTAGGAAACGTGTTTCCCTTTACAATGAAATTCTTACTTTGCCGTCCACATGAATGTCACAAAAATACAAGTGAAATATAAAGTAGATAAATAAATAACACAAAATCTAAGGCACTTTAAGCAGCAAATGCAGTGCAAAATGCCGCTGCCCGGCTGCTCGCTGGTGTGTGTGTGTGTGTGCAACTCCTCTCTGTGTTGTGGCTGGAGGTCTCAAAGCGGGTGTAGAAGGTGTTGAGGTCATCCGGCAGGTTGGCTGTGGAGCTGATGATGCTAATGGTGGTCCTCTAGTCTGTGATGTGCTGCAGGCCTTGCCACATCCGTCCGGAGTCAGCAGTAGAATAGAAGCCATTCAGCTTCTCTCTGTACTGCCTCTTGGCCACTGTAATGGCCTTCCTCAGTCTGTACTTTGCAGCTCTGTACTCCGTCTCATCGCCTGATCTGAATGCATGAGTGCGAGCACGCAGCATGTGGTGTACCTGATTTTTTTATCCAGGGCTTCTGGTTGGGAAACCTCCTGACTTGACAGAAACCAAACATGGCGCCCACCAAGGCAGACGTGTTTGCGCATTCCACTCTTGAATGTCAGCTTTTTCTTTGTTTTCTTCTTTTTTGTGTTTTTTACTTTTTTTGCAGTGCACAAATGTCATGCACTGCTTACATACAACAGACAGCATTGCTGGATATCGCCAACTCACACAGCCACTGGCAATTCACTGGTTTCATACCACCAGAGCTACGACTCATTGTCCACTCTCGCAACAACAACAACAACAACCACCATCACCCTCAGTGAGCCCCCGGAGCACCAGGCACAAGCGAGCAGGCTGAAATCAGGAGAGCGACCCGAAGACGGAGACGCAAGCGAGGCAAGCGCGGAGGACTCCATGGTAGGCTAAAAGCTCGCGCTACCCGACCGCCATTACCCAGCCTCTTCCTAGCTAACGTACAGTCTCTGGAAAACAAACTGGACAAGCCTAGGGCTAGTATTACAGTACAACGAGAAATCAGAGAATGCTGTGCTCCAATTCTCACCGAGACTTGGCTTTCTGACTCCGCGATTCAACTACAAACGCACTCTGTACATCGAGGAGACCGCACTGCTGCTTCGGGGAAGGTAAAAGGAGGTGGTGTGTGCGTGTGTGTTTATCAATAACTCGTGAGGTGGAGATGTAAAATTACTCCTGACACATTTAATCACTTGGTATCTTTGTCATTAAATGTCTTTTAAATTACCCATGGCATGCTCATTTCTGGCCATTTATTGTTTAATCTTGGGTACCTCTAGATTACCTTTGCACCCATCATAACTCCAAATAGTCTAATTATTTCAGAACATTTAAACCCAGTATCACAAGGAGAGCCTCCTCCTGAAAATGAGAGGATAGTTTGTGAATGCGTACAACTCCTATTGCCGGTCAGGTAGTTGCAACAATGCATAAACAAAAAAATTTTGGCAAATAAGCTACATTTTTGATAATGAAAATAGCTCAAATCCTACCTGACATGCTCAAGCCAGGACATGAAAGTGAACAGCACAACAAACCGCAACAGCATTAATTTGAATTTCTCCTCTATAGATAGCTAAAGAACAATATATGTACTGATGAAAATACATTTGTAACACTCTAAACAAAGCGGGTAATTGAGAAACCCCATATTTTACTTGGCAAAATGCAGAAATAGAAACGTCTCCAGCCTTGCAATAATTCTCTCTACAGAAACAACACGTTAACAGGCATGCAACAGTTATTTTTTTTTTTTTTTTTACATTGTGTTACGTCCCACCAAGTAGTGGAAACTTCAAGGTTGGTAAATTTAACTGGGGATTGCTTCCCCCACAAATCACTCGCATTATAGGCCACATTACCAAAGCAGTCACAAACAGTGGCCTCAAGCATTCAAAACAAACAGGCACCGTGCTCCGTGGGAATTCAGCATTAATGAGCTGATCATTCACCACCATGGGGAGCTTCACTGGCTGGCTGCTTGTAGGTTACATCTGATCAGTGGGTCCCTGTACATGAACATTCCTGGACATGCAGTAACCTCAGACCCTGTATCTTTCTCCACATCCTCTGGTCACAGTGCAGCAGCAGAAAGTGTCCACAAAACCCTGTGTAGTTGAAAAATTCCACTTTTAAAATGGGACTGGTGGATGTCAGGCAAGCTCGCAACTGCCTGGAGATGATGACTATTCAAGAAAATCCATAAACCCAAAAGCTAATGGGTAAGTCTTTACATAGCTGGGGGGGGGGGTCTCACCAGTGAGAGTTTGCAAGACTTGTATACACAGAGTTCCTTCTGCAAGTTCCATAACATGGGTACACCTTGTTTTTTGGCCTTTCAGTCACGTTTAAGGTAATCTTTCGTCATTGTAACCTTGTAGATAAGTCAGTAAAAACAGAAAAGCATGCCATGGGTTCTTTAAGGTGCACACCAGTACTGGGTCTTCATTGGTAATTTGCGGTTCAAAATGTGCCACACATTCTATGTTAGGGACAGGTTGAGACTACAGGCAGGCCAGTCCAGCACTCACACCCTTTTCCTCCACAGCCAGGCCTTAGTAATGTGTGCAGTATGAGGTATGTCTTGTTGAAATATGCTTGGGTGTTCCTGGAAAAGATGTCTTGAAGGCAGCATATGTTGCTCCAACTTCTCTCTGTATTGTTCAGCATTAATGGTGTGATCACAGAAGTGTAAGTTACCTTTGCCAAGGACACTGACACAACCCCAGACCATGGCAGACCCTGGCTTCTGCACTTGTTGCTGCTAACAGTCTGGTTGGTCCTTTTCATCTTTGGTCCAGAGCAAACAGCATCCATTCCTTCCAATAAAGACCTGAAATACGGATTCGTCTGACCACAGTACATGTTTCCACTGTGTAACGATGATCCATCCCAGATGCCTCTGAGCCCAGAGCAGTCGACTGCACTTCTGGACAGGGTTGACATAGGGTTTCCTTTTGGCATAATACAGTTTTAAGCAGCATTTGTGGATGTAACTATGTACTGTAGTGCCTGACACAGGTGTGCCAAAGTAATCCTGAGCCCATGTGCTTATATTGCTTATAGAAGAGTGATGATTCTTGATGCAGTGCTGTCTGAGGGATTGGAGCAAGCCTAAGCTTGATGACCGAGTTTAGGCTTGTGCCCTTGCCCTGAAATCCCTCCAGATTCCTTGAATCTTTTAATTATGTTCTACACCATAGAGGGTGAAATATCTAAATCCCTTCCTATCCTTCTCTGAGGAACATTTCAATAATTTTCTCACACATATGTTGGCAAACTGGTGGTCCTTGGCCCATGTTTGCTCCTAAAGGGCCCGGCCTTTCTTGGATACCACTTTTGTACCAAATCATGATTTCAATCACCTGTTCACCTATTTAATGTTAAAAGGGCTTGCCATGTGAGATAACTATGCAATCTGTGATTACCTACAGAACAGTTTCCCCTTGCTATTTCATCAGTGCACAGTTCATTCATTCTCTCAGCCGCTCCTCGCCTTGCTTTGTCTAGCTCTCTCCTCACACAGAGACAACAGACACTTTGTGAACAGTTCCTCCTCTGTGTCTTTGATTTTTTTCACAACCCTGTCAATCGTGGCGATCTAAGTCTTCTAATAAGTTATTAGTAACTTAGTAAGGATAGTTGGCTAATGTTAGAATAACTTAGTTTTTGCTGAGGTTAGCATGCTGTATATTCTAGATGTTTACTTCTCTGCAAGTGGAAATTTGTAATGCTAATTCTTCAACTCTGATGCAGAATGTTTGCTCCCTCAGTCCAGAGGAATATTGAAAAATATTTTCCTAGACCCAAAGCACTCATTCTGAGGAGGCACAGACAGTCTGGACCAAAGTTAACCTTAGAAATGTAATAAAATGCACATGGGAGAGCTGAATTGGTCTGACCAGTTGCAGTTGCAGTTAATTTGCTTCGAATATTTCCAGGCTTTGCCAGTGCTGCTGAAGCAGCAAGAGAGGGCCAGGAGGGAGGGAAAGAGATGTAGGAAACAGTAACAACTGCCAATATGCAGCTGTGGGAGAGCCAGCTAGTGCAGAAGCTACAAAGGGACAATAGCTACAGAGATACAGTATTACTGTATTTAATAAATTTATTTAAAAAAAATATGAAAGCCTGCGATCTACCACCACAAGTATAATCTAATTCTATGGGAAACATTGCATTAATTGCTATGATCATGCATGATCACATTTTTTAACAAAAAGCAATACAGTCATCCAAATGTTTGTCTATTTGTTTTTTAGGTGTTAATCTACCTGGATGCTCACTGTGAGGTTGGGATCAACTGGTATGCTCCACTGGTTGCTCCTATTTCAAAAGACAGGTAACACACTGAGACAGGTTTGACAGCCTGCAGTATTCAGTACCATGTGTATTTATGCAAAAAAGGGTATGGCCACAGGTGAAAATCAGGGCACTCTGTAAAGGTACACACTAGAGTATTTAGTATTGTATCTGTTGATGCCTTTTTAGTGTATGCTGTGCACAGTCTCAGTGTATATGCAGGAATAAGGCACACCTTAATTTGCTGTGCATCTGTCATCTCTGGCATTATTTATACTATAGCTTCCTCCATGTTTGACCCAATGGAGCACTGTATTACACAGTGTAAAGCAAAAATATTGTTGACAGATGTATTTAATCATCATAGTCCAAATCAGACAAAGGTATGTGTTTGTTTGTTTGTTTGTTTGTTTGTTTGTTTGTTTGTTTGTTTGTTTGTTTGTTTGTTTGTTTGTTTGTTTGTTTGTTTGTTTGTTTGTTTGTTTGTTTGTAGGACAGTATGTACAGTACCACTGATAGACTATATAGATGGTAATGAGTACAATATGGAGCCCCAGCAGGGTGGCGATGAGGATGGCCTGGCTAGAGGAGCATGGGATTGGAGCCTGCTCTGGAAGAGAGTGCCACTTAGCCACAGAGAGAAGGCCAAGAGAAAACATACCACCCAGCCCTACTGGTACACACCTCACAGCCAGCATGCTGATACTAATCCCTGTTCTGTTTGTTTCTCCATCTCCTATCCTTTCATTCCTCTGTGTCTTGGTATGTACTGTTCCCAACCCCACCCCATGTGTTTGTGTTTTTACTGGCACTCCTGTCTTATTTGCCTGTTTTTTCTGCTTAATGTACACCACCCCTACACTTCTTCCCCATGTATCTTGTATGAATGGGCCCCACTCACCACTCTGTCAGAACGGTGTGTACAGTGCCTCTGATCGACTCCATCGATGGCCAGAAGTTCACCTTCGATCCCCAGGGTGGAGGAGACGAGGACGGCTTTGCTAGAGGAGCCTGGGATTGGAGCATGCTCTGGAAGAGAGTTCCTCTGGGAGACAGAGAAAAAAAACTCAGAAAAACACGAACTGAGCCATATAGGTAGAGAAACAATACCACATAAATAATGTGGACAACACAAAGACAACATATCTAGCCTAACCAGGATTAATGCTAATCATATTTCTTCTATTCAGACTGCTACTATGGCATGGTTTTGATGAAACGCTTGTCTTAAACCAACTCTTTCCACTAAAACTGTCTAAATCAACTTCAAAAACAGAAATATTAACATTAGGATGTATAGGTACCAACAGCGGATATTTAATACCAACTCTTTTTCTTTCGCTATTTTTATCTCTATTTCTCTTTTGCTTTTTCTCTCTTTTTCTATCTATATCTCTCTATATCTTTAATTATATCTATATCTATTGCTAGTAACGGTTTAGGGCATGTATCTATTGTTTGGTTAACTTGAAATAGTTTAGAGGTTTTCTGCGTATGCCTAAAAGTAGTTAGGGAAAAAAGCCTTGTGCCAATAACCCAGTGAAACTTATTGGCAAAGATGAAATGTTGATTGCAGCTGTCAGTCAGTCCTACAAGTGAACAAGACAAAGTACAGTTAGAGGATATGTTGGCGTCCTTTCAGTATGCCACAGATTTGCTGAGAATTCACATCTGAAAGCAGGAGAAAAGCGTTCAGTGTTATCAGAACAGCTGTCTATCTGTCAGTAGGTCAGCGCGTTCAGTGTTATCAGAACAGCTGTCTGTCAGTAGGTCAGTGGCCAGACAAAGGTCTTGACCTGGCTGCCTGACAGTTTTCATGTAGGCTCATCAGGAAGAAATTGACATGTTTTTGTGAATGAATTTTCCCCAACTTGCTACAGTTACATAGCCTGACCAGTCATAATAGGTATCAGTAAAAGGTTTGCAACAGAAAAGAACTTGGGATTTGAGTGATTTAAACAGCTGTCTTTAGAGATTATGCTTTACTAAATATGCCAGAGGAAAAAAATAGACCTGAAGCTTAAAAAATGTGGCAGAGATGCACCCTTTTGGTGCTCAGTATCAACTGACACATTTGATAGACTGGAATTTCATCTGTTGAGTGATGTAAAAGACATGTCTAAAGTGTTGGATAAAACTATTACCTCACTGTTCCGGGTAAATACTGTATGTACCAAGTGAGAAAGTTTTCTCTACAGAATGGTACACTGTTACTGCAAGTAGGTCTTGTGTTGTGCTGGAGAATGTGAACAAACTCAGCATCTTACATAGGAACATGAAAATAGAATAAGCAATGTGCAGTGCGTATTTGGTTTTTACAGTACTTTATGTTGAAACTGAAGAAGTGTTTATCTTCTTTATGGTCTTAGCCAGACATTTAAGACACATTTATCTTTTTCTGACATACATAAAATGCATATTGAAATTGAAAATGCCCACCCCTTGCTTTACCAAGAATGTACCAAACTGAAAGCCGTGACCCCAAAGCTATGATATCAACCAAACCATGAATTTTGTTGCATCTGTACTATGCTTGCTTTTTCCTTGCAACAATGATTCATGTTCACGTGGTCTCCTTTCAAATAAATTAGCAAGTTTGAAAAACATACCCGATTACCACTGAAAAAAACATATTAAGTGGCAAACTAGACCGCAATAAACACATAATACACCTAGCTTAGCTGCACCTCTGCCAAGAAAATATTATGGCCAATGGAAACAAGAGCCCAGAACTAGACAACCCTCTCTTATCATTAATGTCTCCTGTTTGATAAATATAAATAGATAGGACAGTATATCAAAATTCAATATTTCACAATACAAAAACATCACAAAATGTATTGCTTTGTCTAGTGATATACCTTGCTGTGTCCATACACCAGTGACTTAATATTTTTTGTAAATAACAGAGCATAAGTCAATATATCTGGCTGTTCTTTACATAATCAAACCAGTGATAGAAAAAGGGAAAAAAGCGGAATAATGTACAAGTAAGTCTGCAGCTAGTCATGCATTGTCACTGAATTTTTAGTGAATCCTGAATCCTACAAACCATATCGTGCATTGAATCATATTGAGGAAAAAATCACATACCTAATATATAAAATACATCTAACTATTAAAGCTAAGTCTAATCCTTGCTGCAAATCACAACTAAAAACTAAGCCAAGGCTATCTCCTTCTGGTGGTACTGTCCTCTCCAGTGACTGCCTCTGTGCTCTAACATTTTTATTGCTGGGAGTTGATGTGCCACTACAGTGTTTTGTGGAATTAACTCTCACATACCTTCTACCCTTAGTCTGGCTTTCTGCTGTTTTTATTGGAACTACAGTATTCAAGGCCAATGCCACTTGACCTACAGGAACTTTAATGGACATAACAGCGTTGGATTCAGTAAGACTGGGTCCTAATTTAACAGCCACGGGAGTGATATGTTTGTGTTAGCAAATTCTGCAGGAGCTTCTGGTTCTTTGGACTGGGGTACCATCACCTTTACCTTCCCCTAATCACATTTTTATTTATTATGTCTTTTCTGTTCAGCTTTACTGTCACTAATTATTTATTGTGCTTGTTTTCTGTCACTCTGCTCTTCTGTCTTGTTGTTGCTGTTGTTGTTAATAATGATAATACCATGTCCAATGCCACCCTCTAGTACTGATAAAGTTATCTGATACAAACACACAGATACCACTTAATGGCAACATTGCTATATCCTTATGTTGGCTGAGCAAAGCTTTGCTTCCCTATTCTCTGTGTTAAAGAAAAGATCAGGGGAGGGGGCGCTCACAAACACACACAAAGTGAAATAGAGACGAGTTTGTGTTCTGCAGTAAAATCGGTCCGTAATGGATTATGAGCAGTGGAGTAGAAGCAATTTACCTAACACCTCCTCCAAAGCAGGACACATATTTGAATGAAATTTTGACATCTTTACTCTCCCCCATGTTTAACCCTCACTCAGAACTCCAAAAATGGTCTGGACAGTATTATTGACTCCCTCAATGTAATATTTGGTAGCATGCCCTTTGGACAAAATAATTGTCCTTCCTGTAACCATCACTGAGTTCTTTCCACCTCTCTACTGGAATTTCAGACCAGTCATCTTTTGCCAACTGCTCCAGGTCTCAGATTATAAGGATTCCTTCTCCCAACTGCTGTTTTGAAGTCTCCACAGGTGCTCTGTGGGATTTAGATCTTGACTCATTGCTGGCCATTTCAGAACTCTCCAGCTCATTGTCTGAAACCATTTCTGGTGCTTTTTGTAGTCTGCTTTGGGTCATTGTCCTGCTGTAAGACCTATGACATCTGAGAGAGACCCAATTTTCTGACACTGGGCCCAACATTGTGGCTCACAATTCGTTGGTACTCCTCAAATTTCATAATGCCGTGAAGGCACCCAGTGCCTGCAGCAGCAAATCAACCCCAAAACAACAGTAAATCTCCACCGTGTTTAACTGTAGGGACCATGTTCTTTTCTTTGAAGACCTCATTTCATTTTCCCCCTTGGTCTCCTACTATAGTTTCCCTTGTCATTCAGATAGCGATGGATAGTGTGAGCTGATCCTGTGCCTGGAAGTTGGAAGTTGATCAAGGTTCTTTATCCACCATTCAAGAGAGGAAAATAGATGAAGAATCCGTCATTGCAATCAGTCATTACAATCTGTCATCTATTTTTTGTCCATGTCCAGGCAAATTAGCCACAGCGCCATGGGCTGTAAACTTGACAATATTGTGCACAGTGGACACAGGAACAGCTTGATCTCTGGAGATGGACTTGTAGCCTTGAGAGTGTTGATGCTTTTTCACTACTGTGGTTCTCGAGTCCCCAGACCATTCTTTGCTGTTCTTTCTTTTTCCTTCCTCAGTGTGCCCCACATGATACAAAGGTTGAGTCAACTTTTCTCCATTTTAGCTAGGTGCAAGTGTGATTTGTATATTGCCAACACCTGCTGATTGCTACAGGTGAGTTCCATTACAAATTAAAGGAGCATCACATGCTTGAAATACAACTATTTCTGATGATTTTGAAAATGTGTCAATAATTCTTTTCAGTCCATTTTTGGAGTTCTGTGTGGAATGTATCGGATTTGGCTTTTTTCTCTGTTTTTTGTGATGTTTCAATGGAAACAAAAGTAATAAACATGATCATACCAAACAATTTGATTGCAACAGTTTAGTGGGAGAAGAATATTTTTGGCCATGACTGTATGTGTATGTGTATAAATATACACACACACGCGCGTACACACACACACACACACACACAACCCAATTTCGAAAAAAGTTGGGATGCTCTGTAAATAAAAACTGAACTAAAATGATTTGAAACCCTCTTTTACCCCACCTTCCTTTGCTAGCTGTACAAAGATAAGATGTATGTTCAAATTAATATAGTTTGTATATTTTGGTTTATATTCTGAATTTGAGGCCAGCAACACATTCCAAAAACATTGGGACAGGGACAACAATAGACTGGACAAGTTGTGTAATGCTAAAAAGAAACATCTGGAGGAACACCTCACAACTACTTAGGTTAATTGTCAACAGGTCAGTTTCATGATAGGGTATAAAAAGAGCATCCAATTGAGGCTGAATCTTTCAAAAGACAGAATAAAGGTGCTCCAATCCTGCCTCAAAAGGGCAGGGTGTAAGGGGCTTCTGGACCAGCAGTAGTGCAGGATCTCAGTGTAAAAATGACTGTCTTCATACCTCAAGCATTAGCATTACACACACCATGTATAAACATAAAGCTAGCTGTGAATGTGACAGGGGAGCAGCCCTCCCCCTCTTCTAAAAAATGAGCGACAGAGAAAACTTCATCTACAACTGCAAGTTAAAATTCTACCATGCAAAATAAAACCATAAACCAGATCCAGGGACACAACCACCTTCTCTGGGCTTGACCTCATTTAAGATGGACTGAGGTGATGTGGAAAATGGTCTTGTGGTCTGAGGAGTCAGAATTTCACATTTTTTGGAAATCATGGATGCCGTGTCCTCCAGGCTAAAGAGGAGACGGGACCATTTTGTTATCAGCACACAGTTCATAAGCTAGCACCTGTGATGGCATGGGATTCACTAGTGTACATAACATGGGTAATTTGCACATCTACGTTTATGAGTTTTGGAGCAACACATGCTGCCATCCAGATGATGTCTTTTTCAGGAAAAGTCTTGCTTCTTCGGTAAGACGATGCCAAACCACATTCTGCTCTTATTCCAACAGAGTGCCTTTGAAATAAGAGTCTGACTGCTAATCTTGCATCCCTGCAGTGCAGACCTGTCTCCTATTGAAAAAACATTTTGGTGCATTAGGCGGTGAAAGACTCAGAAGTGTTGAGCAGCTCAAAACATTTTGCTTTCAAAACTAAAGTTCTTGGTCTCATTAATTTCCAAACACAGAGTGATATTAAAAGAAGAGGTGATGCAACAGAGTGGTAAACTTTCCCTGATCCCCTCATTTTTGAAATGTGTTATGGTGGTATCAAATTTAAAATGAGCATTTTTTTTTTAAAGCAAAATTTTGCTGTTTCAACATTTGATGTATTGTCTTTGTACTATTTATAATTAATTCTGATTTAAATGATTTGCAAATCCATGCATTCAATTTTTATTTACATTATATATAGCATCCCAACATTTTTGGAAATGGGGTTGTGTATATATTTGCTTTGTGTGTGTATGTGTGTGTGCGTGTGTGTGCGCGCGCAGATATTTAAAAGTCTTCCATTTCTTGCTGCATTGAACTGTATATACAGTGTACTCTGTACTGGCAAGTACTCAAACATATTCATGCTCTTAGTCAGTTATACAGCAACTAACTGTGCTTTAAATTAAGGCCATATAGGTGCAGTGTTCAGACAGAAATTAACAGCTATTTAGTATTTGATTCTCAAACAAAACTGAAAAGAGTAGCTGATGTGGTTATTTGATTTTCATATACAGTACTTGTGTCTGTATTTATACCTATAGGTCTCCAGCCATGGCAGGTGGTCTCTTTGCTATAGAGAGAGACTTCTTCTTTGAACTGGGTCTGTATGATCCAGGACTACAGATATGGGGAGGAGAGAATTTTGAAATATCATACAAGGTAGACATGAAATTATTTGTATGCATTGAGGGTGAATACATACATATCTCATACATTATTTCTAAGGGTTTACCAATAGAAATATTCACAGTTTCTGTATGCTTATGTAGATCTGGCAGTGTGGCGGCCAACTGCTCTTTGTACCATGTTCTCGTGTTGGCCATATCTACAGACTTCAGGGATGGCAAGGCAACCCTCCACCTGCACATGTTGGATCTTCACCCACTCTGAAGGTAGAATGGCTCACACTTTAAATGATAGGGCTGGTTATTTTTTTTATATTAGTGTGTGTGTGTGTGTGTGTGTGTGTGTGTGTA